TACTCACCCGTGCGGACGTTAATCCACCCTAGGGAGTATCACACATCCACAGTGCATGCCTATAAACATCCACAATTCGTGACCTCCTCCCTTAGTGGCTGGATTACAGGACGACGCCACCCGTCCCAGTCTTCGTAATTTACGGGACTGCCTCAATCATACTCATACTGATTATTCTACACGCTGTATATTACCATTATAATAGCTCAAAGCTGATGAGATGGGCTTAGGAAAAAGGATTGTGCACTTTTTCCTTACACGAGTTCCTATAAACCATATTGATTTGGTCACATAGCTTCGTATATAACAGCACTGTCTCAAACATACTCATACCGATTTTTCTACACATTGTATTTTACCAGTATAATAGCTCAAAGTTGATGCGATCGTTTTAGGAAAAAGATCGCGCATTTTTCATGTTGAGAGTTTTAATTGAGCGTGTATATTTAGCCATATGAATAATTCCTAAGACTGCCTTAAATATACCTATCATAATAATACTCGAATAAACTATGTTTTGCTCCTGTATTAACGTTTTATTAAAGTAGGCTATTATTGACATTTTATACATGTAAAAACATTATTATTCACCGCATTTCCATTGAATTGACTTTCCAATATCCCCGCAAAACACGCTTTCGGCGTCCGCAGGCGTACCAACCGGTATCTATGACAAATCGAAAAAGCGCCGATGAAAAGAACCGCTAACTTCTCGACGGTCTTTCACCGGCACAGCTATATTCTAATCTAATTCAATTGGCAGAGGCTATTCGCACGTCCAATCCAAACGTGCGTCGCCACCGCGCGCCTGATCGAAATGGATATTAGGGTCCTAATCTAGTTACTTTTATAATTGTTTAGTAGCAGGTTGCACACAAAGAAAACCTACTATTAGGAACGGCAGCAGTAGAACCTTGATAACAAGAGTCCAACAGGGATTATTAAATAAAACTTTTTATCAAGGTTGACTTCTTATCGAGGTTTACAATAACATGTGATAGGGGAAAATAAATTCAAGGGGGTCTGAAAATGACACTTAGCCTACTTGTTATCAAGGTTGACTTGTTATCAAGGGTCTTCTTATCGAGGCTCCACTGTACCTCTAAACCTTATTAGCCGAAATGGATGGAATGAACTTCACGTTTTCTGCCCGCAACTTAAATACTGATTATGAAATGAGACTGTTCTAAACGTCATATTGATGGTCCGTGAATCCATAACGTCATAATAATAAAATTATGAAAAATTATAAAATTCTGTCATAACCTAACCAAACTAACCAGACTTGCTGATAGTGAAAAAATCGAATGAAGGTTCTAATCTAAAAATAGCTCTGTTCATAAAATAAAATTATAAATGCCTCAAATTCTAACAAAAGATGTTATTGAACTCTAATCTAAGTCTTAGACCAAAAGTTAATGGTTCTGATGGGATTTGATCCGGCTACCTTCGCTTCAGTTCATCAGCCTGGTACGCTATACATTACACCATCAAGGCCGTCCGCTTATCACTGTATACCCAGACAGCACACTTTCTCCTCAGGACATCCCACGGATATTGCGACAGGATATGCAAGATATCCCATAGTAGTCCTATGGTCAACCTGGGATATCCCAGGATATCCGCAGGCATGTAATGTCCCCGCCCGGGGATGTCCTACGGATAAGCTCACAGCATATCCGTGGGACATCCGAGGTCATCCCAGCGTAGTCCTCAGGACACACTTGGCGGTCGGAGTAATAAGAACAAGGCACAGCCTTGTTGAGGGTCGTGGGAAGTAACAAACCGAAACACTAAACTAACCTACTATACAAAAACACTTGGACCGTAGAATATGAGTCGTGACATTCGCCGGTGGAATTAGTCACGGCTCAGTTGGTCTCATACCTTATAATCTGGAATTTGTGACATTCTTTGTAAAGTGTTGCATAGCTTAACATCAGTTAAAAGGTGCTTCACTTTCACAATATTACATTTTACTAGCTTACAATCAATATTTATTAACAATGAAAATTCAACTAAAAACTTCAAAAATTAGTGTAAAAAAAAGATTAAATAGGTACCGTACGTATTATGATAGAACTGTCATAAAAATTGATTTCTACGATGAATTTTCCGTACTACCGGTAATCGAATTTAGCCATAGTTGTGTGGTTTTAGTAAAATATTAATAACTTAGTGTATAAAATATTAAACAAATTTACCAAGTTTGATCAAAATACAGGGTGTTTATAAAAAAACTGATCGATTTTAAACAGTCATAGCTCTTTTATTTTTCATCACAATTTGTTTAAATTAATGTTAAATTAAAGACAATTTTCTTAAGTTTACGATGACACATTCACACTATCTTATTTCTACACGTTTTCCATTATTAGCTCTTAAATAATCAAGTCTGTGTTCGAGATCTGCCCAAACTCGCCGTAACATCGGAACATCAATTTCATCAATTGCTTCTCTGATCTTTTGCTTCATTTCTTCCAGGATGTTGACTTTGTTGGAGTAGACACGATCTTTTACAAACCCCCAAACAAAAAAATCACATGGGGTAATGTCTGGCGACCTTGGTGGCCAAGGTATGGGTCCGTCACGGCCAATCCAACGATTTGGGAAATGTTCGTCGAGACAGTCACGAACAAACCGTCTCCAACGAGATGGAGCGCCATCTAGTTGTAACATCATGTTTAGTTGCTCATTTTCAAACTGTGGAATGGCAAAGTTTTCCAACATATCCGGTTTAAGAAGTTATTGTTAGTTTCTAAAAGGTCGAGCATTGTATTGCAAATTCTCTGCGTCAGGCCCAGTCTTGTCGCGTAATCTTTTGAACTATCTGTAACTTATAAGACCGAAAATGCAAAACTCTTTTTAACACTTTGTGTAGAGTGGAATGCTTAATATTCAACTCTCGAGCTGTAGATCTTGTTGATTGTCTCGGATTATTAAGAAATGATTGATGAATTCTTTGAACATTTTCTTCACTTACCCTTGGACGACCATTGCCTTTTCTGTGATGTATGCTCGCGTGGGTCATGAACTTCTCATACCATGCTTTTATCGTGTTCTTTGAAGGAGGATTTCTGTTAAATCTCCTTCTAAATCTACGCTGAACAGCAAGAGGAGACTTAGTTTCTATTAATCACTCGACACACTGCGTCTTCACTCGAGGATCCATCGTAAAATGTTACTTATTTGTTTTTGTTTATCACACAACAATGTAAGAAGAAAGAGGGTACTGCTAATAAAAACAGCTGATTATAAAACTTTTTGAGTTTCCCTAACAAATAATGAAAACTAGAGGTTTCTACCTCTAACACGGAATGAGTGAGGCAAAGTTAAAATCGATCAGGTTTTTTATAAACACCCTGTATATCCATAAACAAGCTAACTACAACATTTTACAATATTCTCCATAAGAATAACAAGGGAATTTTAAAATACCAATTTTTGAATTTTCTCCGTAACCAATAATTGCACAAAAACACTTTGATATACTAAATTATTAGTTTTTTAAGCTCTTTAAAAAGGTCTGGAGAGAAATTGGGAAATTTTGTGTTTAGAGGGTCAAAAATTAAAAAAGCCAATTTTTAGCCCGTAAAACCCCTTTCCCATGGTCCGATCATGCTAGTTCTCATTAAAGTTTATGCTGCCTTACACCTTCAAACCAAATTTCATCAAAATCTGAAAAAAATCACTCAAGTTGTCGTGTTCATGGACATGTATATATGTATATATATACATATACAGGGTGACTGAAAAGTAACTTACACCCCCCCCCTTACTTTTCAACAATTTTAGATATTTGAAATCTGTTTGCGGCAACCTTCTTTGATATGAGGGGCAACAATAATTATGGTCAATTTTGAAAATTTTGCCCTTAGCAGCTAAAAAATTATAAGACAATGGTTATTAAAACTAATTTTGAACTGCCATTTTGTTATTAATGGTCCGATTTATATTTTCTTTGTGTTAATTGTTATGTTTCGTCAAGACCTGCAAAATAATATCAAACTCAACTATACTTGCTATTTGAAAATTTTGAGCTACCCCCTACCGCCGCTACCCCTAAGGGTAAATTTTTCAAAACTGACCATAATTATTATTGTAGCCCTTCATATCCAAACAAGTTGCTGCAAAATGGCAAAATGTTTTGCCCCATGGCAAAATGTTCAAAATTTACCATAATTATTGTAGCCCCTCATACCTAAGAAGGTTTTCACAAACAGATTTCAAATATCTCAAATGGTTGAAGAGTTAAATGGGGAGGGGGGGTGTAAGTTACTTTTCAGCCACCCTGTATACAAATTTGAACTAATGGTGTTTTTGGCCTCTGGGGACATCAAAATGAAAAAGTAAATTGGTCTTGGGCCTAAAGCCAACTACGGTAATACCTACCTAGGGAAATTCACTAAAAAGGTTCAACCTAAGTATCCAATATGTGAAAAATTTATTTCCAAACCACATAAGTTTATTTATTATCCATATGCGTGACATATATGAATTTTAAATTCACAATTATTTTTAAAATTTTCTGTAACTAATTACTGTACAAACACACTTCACCTTACTAAATTGCTTGTTACTCTTGCTCTATTGTCTCTTTTTGAATCAATTGACTTAATTAGTGTCTTGAAAGTAGTTGGTCAACACTTTTAAATAAATTTATCTTCTTCTCAGAGCTGTAGATTTATTTATGTTAAATTTTAAGTCCAATCTGTGCAGTAGTTTTAGATTTACTTTGTACAGACACTTAAACACACACACAACATTTGTCATTGACTATCAACTAATGATGATATATAATAAAAGGTCAGCGATAGATATTAATAAGACCAGAGTTAGACCACTGTTTGTGAAAACAAAACAAAATTACTGGCATGGAAACACAATTAAAAAAGCTACAGATAGATAATTTAGTTGTCATCATTGCACTCCAACATACAAAAAACACACATAAAACTTTCTTCAGATAAGAAAGAACAGATTTACAATAGAATGACAAGTCTACTTGTAGTCTTTAACGTACATTTACTGAATATTTAATTCATGACACAGATTATTATCAAGATACTAGAAAATGTTGCATAATGTCACCGCTAAAGCAAGATGAATCTCACTGCAAGTTTTGCTTCCAAAACTCATACATTTTTTGTATGACTTGCCACTGTATGAAGTATGTTTTTAATAGGTAATTTAAGACATGTTATTGTGGAATACTTGACGTTATCAGTGTTACTTTACAATGCTTTAGGAAACTACACCGCCTACGATCCAGGTTCGTTCATTAAGAGTTGATTTTTATTAACTTCTTGTAAACTAAATGTTAACTTTTCATTGTTTCTGTAGATGTTGACAGTGTTCTATATTATGGGAGAGGTCTTTATTAAATAGAATGCTTGACTTGAATCATAACAAGATTTATTATTAATTTAGAATGTACATTAGAAGTTATACAAGAAGAGCCATGTTTCTAGAGAGAGCGGATAATTTCAAGAAGGCCAAAATCTGTACACTCGCAAGTGTACCAACACATTTAAAACATTTATTCACAGCAGATAGTATTTTTATTTTTTACTATGACTTATGACATTCTTAAGTTTAACGCTTTACAACAAGGCAAAATAATGGCGGAAGATATTACCTTGATATACAGGGTGTCCCGTACACAGCCAAACTCTGGTAAATGGGTTTATGGGTCGAAATAAAAGGAAAATTAAAGAATGAAACTTTTCTAAAAATGGCTTTGTTTGGTTTATATGTTATGGTAAAAGAGTTCAATTTTAAATTTTGAAATGAGGAGTGAGGACTTTAAATTTAAATTTCTAAGAATGGCTGATATTATGAAAATATCATAAACACTTTTTTATTTATTAGTTATAGGCCTATTTATTTAGCGTTAAAATTTCCTATCACGTACACCAAGTTCAAAAATATAAATTTAAAAAGAGCTTAAATATCTTGATTTTTAGTTGTAAAATAAGCCAAAGTGAGGAGCAACCTGACTAGCTTAGCCTTATTCTACCTAATTTTACAACTAAATATTGTGATATTTCAGCTATAGTTTAATTCAATCTTTTTGAACTTGGTATTGTTTGATAGGAAATTTCAAACGCTATTATAAAAGTGTACTTGACACTACCATAAAATCAGCAATTTTTTGTAATTTATATCATGAAAATTAAAATGGCCACCACTTGTAATTTTGAATTGGATCTAGTTAATTATTATGTCAAACATTGGTATCTTTTACACATACATACAACATTTTCATAAAGATTGGTTGGAAGTATTCAAAGATAAACATGTGTTTATGGAAAACATACAAGGCGGGGCAGTTCTAGTTAACAAAGCGGTTTAAAAAGTAATTTTTTATATATTTTTTTTAATTTGACCCATAGAATCGGCCATTTATTTGAGTTCAGCTGTTTACTTATGGGACACCATATATACATGATAAACATCTGAAATATTTTGTTCAATCCACTCACAGCCATTTTGAGTAAGGTACACACATTAAGCTGTCTTTACCTTGCCTAAAATCTAAAGCAAAATACTGTAATTCATAAAAAGTTGACATATCTTTATTTTTCTTAAAAAGAAAATCTAGAAAAAAAGTGGATCTCACCTTTACAATGAAAAATCCAAGGCTCTAAGAGATGACATGGAAGTACAGCTTTGCTCAAATCCACAAGAATGAGCTTTCAAAGGGAAATAATTTACTGTTATTTAAACATAAACTTTAGACCCAAAAGCTACCATAATTCACTTATCTATGTGTTATGTTATCTAATCTAAATGTTTAAAATTAATTATTTGAAGCTCCTCTATAGTTGTTTCATACTAGTTCTTTGACCAGAAACCTAAATACCCCCGCCGCAGCAAACCTGCCGACTAAGCAAATTTCCATTTGCCTGAATTGATTTTTAATTAAATATATTTAATTAACATGAGGTTTTATGAGTACCTAGGCTTGCTGCTACAAGGAGGGTAAAAAGTGTGTTTTTTTAGTTAAATATTAATAACTTAGTATAAAATAAATAAATTTACTAAGTGTGATCAAAATATAGCCATAAACAAGCAAACATTTTACAATATTCTCAATAAAAATAACATGGGAATTTTAAAATAACAATATTTGAATTTTATCTGTAGCCAATAATTGTACAGAAACACTTTGATATACTAAATTATTTGTTTTTAAGCTCTTTAAAAAGGTTTGGAGAGAAATTGGGAAATTCTGTGTTTAGAGGGTCAAAAATTAGAAAAACCAATTTTTACCCCATAAACCCTCTGTAAAACCCCGTTCCCATAATCCGATCACGCTGGTTCGCGAACTCATTCAAGTTTATACCCGCCTTACACCTTCAAACCAAATTTCATCAAAATCGGACAAAAATTACTCAAGTTATCGTTTTTACGGACACATATATTTATACATATATAAAATTTGAATGAATGGTGTTTTTGGCCTCTGTGGACATCAAAATGAAAAAGTAAATCGGTCCCGGGCCTATGTCTTACCATGCCACCTACGTAATAGCTACTTCCCTACAGGGAAATTCGCTAAAAACAAATACTACAAAGAAAAAGGACCTGTTAGTTCCAAAAATTATCATTTTATGTGATTATTAGTGCATTTTCATATATTTTAGTCAGTAAGGTAAATCCTGCTATGCTAACATTCACTGCAAAATCCTTAAAATGTTGCTAGAGAGCCACATTACATAAAAATGATGCATAGTAGTTGAGACTTAAAATTCAAACTTTTTCAGTCGAAATGCTAGGCCACAACATCACCGAACCATCTGACGACATTCCATGGTATAATGATGGAGGCCCTTGCTACTCTTTGAAAACTGCCCTGGATATATTCACCAAAGATCTTGTAAGTTATAGAATAGTTATTTGTGTAACTGTGCGAAAGTGGCGCATTGCTGCACATGAGAGAAATGTTAACACACGAGCTGCAGGCGAGTGTGGAAAGTTTCTCAAGTGCAGAAAAGGCACTTTTGTGTTACATATTACATTTTTCCTACAGTTACTATAAAGCATATACATAATTCTTTAAAACACTATACAACATGTTTTTAGGTTAGGTTAAATTCATAAGAATTGGAAACACTGTACCAGCTGATCTTCTGGTAGTATTCTTCTGGCAGTTGAAATTAAGTGTTGCCAACTTATTTTCAAGCGTATACACACATAACGGGCATAATAAAAGCACAGTGTTTAGTGTTGTTTGGTTGGAATACTGGAGTGTGGCAAAAAACTTAATGCACAAAAGTAAAATGAGTGGGCAAAAAAAGTAAATGAATTGGCGTGAGTTAGTACAAGGAAGGCCACTTTGTCAGGTAACCGTAGGAAAATATACTTTTTGTCATGTAAATATACTCTTTATTTAATATAAAAGCTCTGACTATTGACATAACCAGACATTCCATCCCTATGTTAAAGTTGATGGCAGTTTTTAAATCATAATGGACATATTTGATTTGAGCCACCAACAGAGGGCATTTATGTTGACTGATTTATGTTGATTTAATTACCAACTTTACCATGTAAAACGGATAGGAGACTTTTATTGTACAGTAAGCTTATCTGTTATGTCACATCAACTACCGAACTACCTTATACTTTCCCAAAATTGAGGCAGTTTTAGAGAAAGAAATCTATCCCCTCCATTGATCCTACCTTTAAAATTTATAGCTTAACAGCTGAGATGTCAATCAGCTGCAGAAGCAAAAAAGTAGTGAGGGAACTTCCCCCAAACCACCTAAACTTTGTGGACAAACTAAATGCAGAAATTATAATTAAAGTTGTGTGCTTTCTGTAAGTAGGCTCATTCAACTTTGGAATACAAAATAATTTGTTATTTTTGAATACAAAATTGGCTGCTGCTGGTCTTTATAGATGGGATAGATAGGAAGTAGGATTTTATGTTTATGTTTGTTTATGCCTTTAGATTTAGCGTGTGATTTAGATTGTAGATTTAGTTGACAGAATGTGCTCCTGTAAAATATATTTTTTTCCAGAACACCAACTTTCTTGGTGTCAAACTGTAAAGGTAGCATAAATTAAAATCAAGTGTTATAAGTACTTACCTTAGTAAATAACCATAATGTAAATTTTATAACATATCATAGTTTTTGTAACTGCCCAGGCAAATCAAATTTCAAATAGCTTAGCATTTTTGACAACTGTTTGTGAAAAGACATTCAATAAAATATATTTTTAGTACCAGACTGATCAAGGTGTTAGAATTCTATTGGACAACTTCTACGCCAACGTCGCACAGTTGAAGCGATCTCCACCACTTATAGCAAGCCGAAAGCCTTTCATAGTCATTGAGGGTATGCAGAGAAGGTGTAAGTTTGGTTTATAGACTCTTATATCAAATATCTAACTGGATAATATTTTAGAAAAGTCAGTGTTTGATGAATTTTTCTTTTTTAACCTCCTTGTATCTTAGTCAGTGTGTTATGTTTGAATGTAGCAGTTGGTAGTTTAGGGTTCCGTATTTTTATCAGCATTAAAGGTACCAATTAAGGTATTTTAGTAATTTTTTGGAACATGAAATAATTTAGCCTACTGACCTAATTTTAATATTTTGAGACACCAAGACCATTGCCCATCAAACTTTTCAAGGGGGTTGTGGTTTTTTTGGGGTATGGAAAAACCCCCAGTAAAGAGGGGTTCAGGGGTTATCTTCTATAAACTGTTAAAAATTTAGGTGCAAAATTGGGTATACAGATTTTGTACTAACTGCTGTGGCCACTGGTACATCTGGAAGCAATATTGGCCTCGCTTCCATTCATCTAAATCTCATTCCTCTTCTTTCCATTAGGTCCTTTTCACATGGTTTCAATATCCCAGCTTTGGTTTTCAGAGGGGTCTTCTGCCCTCTAGTATATTCATATTTTCCAGAATAAACTTTTGGCAAGGATCCTTCTTTTCTCATGACATGACTTTCTCATCCGTCTACTCCGTACCTTGGCTACAATATCTGGACAACTATCATTGGGTTATCATAGGGGGCTCGAGCGCAAAAGCTGGCCTACTATACTGTGTCGAATGTATACTGTAGATTGAATGTATACTTCAGTAACCAAAAGTCAATAGTCAAAAGTGATCTGGTAAAAATGTTTTTAAATTTAATCTATTTCTTTGGTTAGGTATTCAATAAGAAATTAAATTTACGGTTGTTGAATGATTCTGAAAAACAATGTGGGGCTTGAAGGATTGAAAAAAGGTTATTTTGTCTAATGTTTTGTCTAACCTAGAGACTGAACCACTGGCCCATAAAAGTAAACATTTGCAATTATTATGAATTATTTCTTATAAATTATTCTTAAGCAAATTATTGATATATAATTTTAAGGTTTGTATACGCAAAAAAATAAAATAAAAATACCTATACACAATTTTGGCTCATTGAAATATGTCTTTTTCTGAGGGTAACAACATACTTGTTGCAATTTTTTTCCAAGTTAGTCCTGTATCTTGCTTCTTTTGCCCAGAAGCGGTTGTAACTTTATTTTTGGAAACCACCTTCTGCGGCTGATTAGACCGGTCAGCACCACTCCTAATCACTGTGCTAAAAGTGACAGTACTGTAGCAGCATACTATCCAGCCACTGAGCTCATGACCGCAGAGTTCCTCATGCCCAAACAGCCTTGTAAGGTATAAACACCTGTGTTGCAGTGAGGTATATTGTCACTCGCAAGGTGGCTCGCTACCTTAAAGGGATGGAAGTTTACAACCCCCCGCCTGGGTATCTGGAGCTGCGTTCGTGGTTCAATCACAGCTCATCTCTAAGACGAGCGTATTTCGCACTCTGCGTCTACATCGCTGCCAACAACGTGAAGATGACGCTGCCTTACCGGGCCGCTGTTATGTCAGGGTAAGTAATGTAATTTTTAGATTTTCTATTGTTTCACTTAACATTAAAATGTAAGAAACCAAAGATGAAACAAAAACACTTATAAAATTTGACATCCTTTATCAGGTGACAACTTCAAAGTTGGCTCTGTTCGATTTCCAGGGTAGTTTGTTTACAATTTGTTTCTCACTATTTAAGTTAAATTTAAAAAAATTAAATTATTTAAAAATAAAACAGTCTAATGAATAGATTGACCTTATCAAGCAAACGGCAAAGCACACATTGTAAATACCCTGATAAGATCAAGATTTAGTCATAACATCATATCCTTTGTTAATGTGTCATTCAGTGTAAGATACTAATACCTAATGTAGGTGTAACTTTTGATTTCACATCACTCTGTTGTCGCTAACAGGTATTGGCTGGACCAAGCCACGTTTGCTCTTGCCAAGAAGTATCGGCCAGGCCTGCCTCCAGACGATTCTACAGACTGGAAATGGCCGGAGGACCTCCTCAAACCGGATTTAATATTCTATTTGACAAACAAAGAAGAAATTGACCCAACAATGACTCAATATTTCCCTACAAGAAAACCAGATCCTTTGAAAGAAATGTGAGTGGTATTTTCTCTGCAAGATTACCCAAAAGAGTTTCTCAATTTCTTTCTCTAGAGTAAAATAATTAAAGAACTTAGCTCTCTTGATCCACCCACTATTCCTTGAAGAAAACAATGCCATTATGAGCAAAAACTACAAGGCTTATGACCATTGAACAATGTAGAGACAGATCTTGATCTTAATAAATAGTTCATACTAGGCCCAGCTGTCCCTGATATTGTGTACGTTTGTTAGTATCTTGCTAAAGAAACAGCTGATCTTGGTCAACTAAAAACCATAGACAAATAGAATAAATATAGACTGTCAAAGGAAGGTTCCGGCGTTAACCGCTAGATTTGCCGTGTCGTTACAGCACACCGCTGCAGGCGATGAGCGCAGGAGCCGTATGTGAGCAGCAGACGCTGCAGCGGTGTGCGCCATAACTACACGGCAAACCTAGTGGTGGACGCCCGAACTTATGGTAACCGCAGCACAGCTGACGGTCTATATTTATTCTATTTGTCTATTCTAAAACATAGACAAAAAGTATTAAATATAAACCGTCAGCTGTGCTGCGGTTACTAAAGTACACCACTGGGAGCGCCATATATTTACGGTGTTAGCGCTACGTAACTACACGGCGCTCCCAGCGGTGTGCGTCAGAACCTATGGTAACCGCAGCACAGCTGATAGTCTATGTATTTAATTCTTTTTGTCGATGATAACAAACACAGCAAATCACCCACTACCCACTCCATTTTAAATTCACCTTGCATTCATAGAAGTACTGAAATGATATATTGTTTTAAAATGAAAACTTTCCCTTTTCCAGCCGTCTTATTTTGAAGGTATAAGTTGAAATCATCTTTTACTTATTGTATTCATTAAATAAATCAGTACCTCTACAACCTGTTTACAATATTTAGGCGGTTTGAGGGGAAATTCCCCCACATTTTTTTGCTTATAATGTATGTTGCAGCTGATTAACAATTTGACAAATCTTAGCTGTTGAGTTATGTTTTATTGGTAGAATAAGACGAGGAGGGTGGAGGTGATACAGATTTCTTCCTGTAAAACCGCCTAAATTTTGTGAAAAAAGTATAGTAAAAGAATAAACTCCCTTTCTATCATGAAATATTTAATAACGTATTTGCAAAACATTTAATCTTGACATGAATTTTTTTTTGTTTGAAAAGTTTAGTATTTACAAAAAAAATCATACAGTACCTTATGATGCTTATTTAAAAAAATAAATTATTTTGTTAATCCCCACATGAGCAATTTTAATGGAATAGTTAAATAAGGGATACAGAAGATATAAAATAGGTGATATACAACAATACTTTGGTTGCATACAAAAGTTAAAGAAAATTGAAGCTATTTTCAGAGCTAACTTAAAAAATTAACAAAATGTTTGTTTTGTTTTTACAATACAAAGAATGAAGAAAGAATACTTAAAGAATGAAGCAGTATGATAAGAAAATTAGTTCATCACCCCAACCAAAAAAGAATCTTTTTTGTCCTCGCTCATTTTCCTAAACTTTAACTCCAGTTGGGAAGAGCTACTGTTGGCCCTAGTGGTGATATGACAAAATCCAGGTATGATCAAATTTAAAACTAATTTTTTTCAACATTTTTTCAGAATTGGACAAATATTCAGGAAATGGGAAGATCCGAAACTAATCTTTATCCAAAACAGTACAAGATATCGAGAGATTGTGGCAGAAATGATTCCACACATAAACAACATGCTGTACAACTGGAGAATACAGACAGAGTCTTGAAATATACCTCGTTTTTATAATGTGCTCTTGATCATTACCCATGTATAGGGGTCTCAATTCCGGGCCTTCAATCCAATCCCGGGATTTCGGGATTCGTCTCAGCCAATCCCGGGATCCCGGGATCAACTTTTTAGCCATTTTTAATTAGCGAGAAGTCCCATCGTTGAGTACTTTAATGTTTTAAACTGGCCTTACCAGTGTACACACACAATTAAACTGCAAAATGTTTCCGTTTTCTAAGTAAATAAATATTACCACGCGGAACTTTCATCGCCCGTATTTCTCATTTACATTGTATAAATGTTGATGTGTCATTCTAGAATGTAATGAATACATTTTAAAAAAAATCACGAACAACTGCACTCGCACGTAGCCTATACGTCACGCTAATAGATAGATTAAAGATAGCTAAGAGAAAAAGATAAAACGGGAAGAATCACGAGTATCGGTGTAAAAATGTTATTTCGACTGACAGCAATAAAACAATATAAGATACTGTAAAACAATTAACCATCTGCTTATGTAGTAGCGAGTGTATGAAAAACGTAATTTTAGATTGTAAGAAATTTAATCACCACACTAATAACCAAATACGAAGATAAAGTTATAGACCTTAAATATAAGCAATCTTAATAATGAGATTATAATCATGTGTTTATAGTTATATTTTATGGCTTCAATGAAAATAATACTAAAATTTCCGATTGCAATGTTATGTTTGCTCTTGGTTTGCTACACGAATTGTGTTGTTTGCGTTTAATCAGGGCCGGTTTAACCCATACGCGAACTACGCGGTCGCATATGGCGCCACAAAAAAGTGGCGCTAACGGGACACAAATTTTTTTCAGAAGACAAAATTGGAAACTATTTTACTGACAAGTTAACAACTTATATTTGTTGTTTTTTTTTTTTTGGTCAGAGTCCAAGTATCCAAAGCATCACACCAAAGGAATTTATTCTGTTTGTACCAACAGCACTTGAAAATGCGTATACTTGTACAGCACTTCAACTCAAGGACTCAAGACATTGATTTGCAGTTTCGATTTGTATTGTAGTGAGCTGACGCTAGGCAGCGTACAGCGCGGCCGCGGCGCCTGAGTTTATAGTTCTATGGTTTTATTTCATGACTCTTGCTCGAGATAAGCGCGCAGCGCCACTTGTTACAACAAGAAACATCCCCCTCCCTTCTGCCCCTGATCACTTTCCCCTCCTAGAGCAGAGCAGTACGTTACGTTGTATTGCACTCTTAGTTGTATACCGTATCGTATTGGTATTGTTTTGATGATTGTTGATTAGAGAATGTTTACGAGTGATTTAAGCTGATACCGACTCAGCAATTAAAGAATTTGCCAAGATCAAAGCTAGGAGAGCTAATTTTTAACTGGTAGGAACTTTTGAACTGTTCAAATTGAATATTCTTTATTATTTTTGTCAAGGTAATACTTCAATTTGGTTTTTCATGTTTTTTACATGATTAATGTATTCAATTAAAAATTCCTCTCTTGTCATCTACCTACACTTGTTTTTTATTGTAGGCTTTATAAAAACTTATATCGTATCCAATCTATCCTGTTAAAATTGATTTCACATTTGGAAATAAATTGTTAACTTTGGGTTTTGCTAAAGTGTATGATGAGTAAAAGTGTAAACATGTTAAATTTCTGTGAATAATAAACAGTACCTAGTTGAAAAAAGTCTTTTATTGCAAGTATTCTTCAAACCTAAACTTTAAGTTATGTTCATGTGGGAGGGGTGGGGGGAGAATCCTAGGTGGCGCTGATTCGGGTGTTCGCTTAACTTACAAAATCATTTAGAAAGAAGTTGTGAAATTTTATATTTTTAAAGTCACATATGGGAAAAGCCAATTTTAACTCCATAATCCTTGTTCTTTTAGTCCTATAGTAATACTGCAGTTTGCAACCTCGTTCAAACCACAGAAAACGGCATTCTGGGTTATAGTAGTACGTTTTCTGTGTTCAAACGCAGTTAAATTTAACGGGTAATGTTTTTGACCTCTGGGGATATCAAAATGAAAAAGTAAATCGGTCCGAAGTCCATGTCTTACAATTAGACCGTTAATGTTTATTTCCTATATGGGAAATTCGCTATAAAATAGTCATAATACCCCCGTCGCAGCAAACCTGCATACTAAGCGAATTTCCATTCACCCGGCTTGATTTCTACTAAAATATTCCCTATAAATTTTCAGATTTATTTCCTATTTAAATAACATTAATTTTAGTGAGTAGTTAGGTTTGCTGCTACAGGAAAGATGTTGAGGTGTGTTTTTTCAATTGAAATATTGATAGCTTAGTATGAAATAAGCCAAATTGCCAAATTTGATTGAAATATATCCATAAACAAGCAAACTAGAACAGTTTATTTATTCTCCATAAGAATAACATGGGAATTTTAAATTTACAATTTCTTTAATTTTCTCCGTAGTCAATGAACATTCAAAAAAAACTTCAATATACTAAATTATTTGTTTTTTTAAGCTCTTCAAAATGGTCTAGAGAGAAATTTAGAAATTTAAAGTTTTTAGGGTCAAAAATGAGAAAAACCCATTTTTACCCCATAAAACCCCCCATAAACCCCTGATCCCATGGTCCGATTATGCTGGTTCGCGAACTCGTTTGAATAAATGTAGGTTTACACGTTTGTACCAAATTTCATCAAAATCGGATCAATTTTGCTCGAGTTATCGCACTAACGGACACATATATAAATATATATATATATGAATTTGAACGGATGGTGTTTTGTGGCCTCTGGGGACCTCAAAACGAAAAAGTAAATCGGTCCCGGGTCTAGGTCTTACCATGAGACCTACGGTAATAGCTTATTCCCTATATGGGAAATTCGCTAAAAACGTGGGAATTTATTCTAGCCTAGATTACAATAAGGATGATTAGTAATCGTGAAAAGGTCATTAAATACAATTTTAATTAGCACAGAAAGTCGTACTTGATTTATTTCTACAGTACTACAGGACTGCAAGTTCAACTTTTAAGCTTATTATGTAGTACTGCAACGTTTAAAGTAAATTGCAACACAGCTAGAGCTAAATCCTCAATATTTTTACCATGAACTTGTAAATTATATGTTAACAAACAAGAAAACTAATATGAAGTGACAACTATACAACCTCAGATACAATATAAAATTAACAAATTGTAACAAATTGACATACAGTAACAAATTGTATGTCTTTCAACTAAACGTCTGTGTTCTTCCTTGATTTCTATCTAAGAGCCTTTAAAAGTAAATGTAACAAAGCATAGAAAATCCGATTTTTAGACAAATAGAGACAATTATTTACATTTTCCCCATAAAGCTCAGGGACAGCTAGCTCCACTTTATTGCTGATACCTATTATATACTTCACTTGTTCCGACGATTATCAAGAAAGTGACAACACACAACATTTAAACTATGATGTATTTTATGTTACCTGTACAACAATATTTTATATGTATTAAAGACAGATAAGTGTAAACAAGTTAGTGTGGATTAAGTTTACAAAATAAGCAAACACGATTTCAAGAAAAAATATATTTTATATTCTCCTTTATAAACTTTATAAACTAAAGTCCAGACTCATCTCATGTCCCTTGGTTCCTAAAAATCTTGCCTAATTTTACAATTACATATAATGTAATATACTATGAGATTTTATTCCTCCTTACTCTGCTAAGAAATGTGTTGATTGCTTCAAACTTTAAGACAGATTTCTTTAATGGTAAACCTAACCTGAATGCGCTAAAATATATCTCATACCTTCACTCATTTGCCGTTCTGAAGATAAATAGTTTGATTTCTGCATTCTTCTCTGTTTTGGATATCCAATTATCAATTTGCCAACATGGAATTTTCATACAAGATTTTTCGTTTTCATCCGACAATTGTATTTCCGTTTTTAGAATGTCATAGCGTGTAAGTTCCTTCTCACAAGATGACACTGCAGCTATCAATGTGTTAGTTACATTGAAATCCCCATTTTCTACTGTAACACGAACATAGTAATCGTGGTTGGGCTTACCAATTGGTGTTGTCAGAAAGTATGTCTTGTAATTATCTGTTGCTTCATCCCAAACTATCAGAATCCAAAACAAATTGTCAAACAACCATACTGGAGTGTACATAGGTAGATTTAAAAAGTTTAATCCCTCTACAGACCTCTCTGTAATGATGTCGACATCCTCATGATGCTCCTTGTAATGATCCAATACCTTCACCACTGGCATTTCAACAGTACAAGTAAGCATTCTACAAACAATTGGTCTGTAGCCACAGAACTCCTCATGATCATTACCTGGTTTTACCATTTCCTCACATCCATCTTGACTGTAGTTACAACTGCGTGGCAGAGCTTTCATGATATTTCTGAGACAACCTGGACTTTCCAGTATTAACGACTCTTCACATGTAGGGCATTTTCGTATCTTGGTGGTACATGACAAACATATATCATGACCACTAGAGCACAGTTGAACAGGAAATTTTACAGTTTCTAAACACACTGGACACTTGGTACATTTTTCAACTGCGGTTAAAATGGATTTAGAAATTTCACTTGTATCACTTGCACCTGCCATCTTTGCTAGAATAAAATATAAAACATCCGATACGTCGCCTAGAGGTGGTAGAGCACTTGATGGGTCGGACTCGTCTGTGGAACATGAGCTTATCTTCTGTAACTGTCAGACAGAATTGTGACTGACCCTCGGACAAACTTATCCTTATCTGTTGGAAGCAACCCCAACCTTTATCAGCTGGACCTTGACTGGTACAGTTGTCGCAGCTTGTCTGGGCGCGCGGACCCTTGTGTACTAACCGTTCCCCATGCCAAAGCCATGAAGACATCAGCAGTGAGGCGCTGAACAACCCCAGACAGCCGTGTGTGCCAGATGTTTTTGGAAATGAGCAATAAACACTCCCCTCTACACCCCTCACCCTAGCGTGGCCGCGCGCCCAGACTAGCTGCGACAACTGTACATATTTGGGATTGACGAATATTGATGTTTTCCCACTACAGGGTCAGGAGGACGATGGCCACAAAAGACTGAATTACTCGTGTCAAAATGTAGCTATTAATTTTATCGATTATATTTTTGTAAAAATATATTCTTAGGTATTCCTGTCATAAATGTAAATACGTTTTTGCACACATATTACTCACAATGCATTTTTATCAGCAAATAGTTGTAGGCATAGGGTAGGAAGTTTGTTTTTGAAATAATAGTGAAAAACTTCTTGATCAGCAAATTACCTGAAAGTTA